CCTGCTCGCGGAGGCGCGCGGGGGTTCCAGGCCTTTGCTGCCTCCGTGGTTCGCGGTGCCCGGCTCGATCGCGAGCTGGTATGGGGGCTGCGGAGCTCGGACTCTATCCTCGTGTGCAGCGCAGTGGGATTTGGCCAATAAAAGTTTCTGTTCGCGTTGGGATAGAATCAGTAGCTTCGGAAATAACTCTTAGTTTTGTATTTAAGTGAATGTTTTAGTAATTCCCAAAAATAGTTTTCCAACAATGGCCCTCGTCGTGGTAGCATAGCGGATGCGAGTGTCATTGCTGTGGAGTGTACGTTGACCGAGTTGCATTTCCATAGCTTTATCGGCCTGAACCTAATCGCCTTGTTACTGTGAAATTGTGTGTTGGACAATGAAAGCGGTCACACAAAGCGCAACGAGCCTTTTAAACTTTGGCAGTGCGCGTTTCTCAGCGCTCTATGTATTGGGAGATGGTTACAGTTACTATTGCTACTTCGTCGGTGCTTTTGTAAAGACCAAGTGTGACCCAGCTCAGAATGAGTACATTCTGAGAGTGAAGGCGTGGTGTGATTTTGATAGTTTTGATTTTCCATGTACGCAGTATGTCCGGTTTTCTGGTATATAAGCCACATGATTTAATATAAGTTGTGGACGTCAGCTCTTAGCTGTTGAAATTAGCAAGGATACCTAAATTTATCGGAAACGTAACAGCATTTCCACACATAATGTTTATTAGTTTTCAGGCTGTGTTTTGAGTCTACCTAGTTTCATCCATATTTGGCTAAAATGAATGGAGTTTGAAGTAAAGCCTAATGCAATTTACTAATATTTGAAGTTATTCTTTGGGTGTATAAATATTTGACAGATTCCTTATCTTCCTTGCTATTTGAGAAAATTATCGTAAAGGTTATAGAACTCCATTTTAAAGATGGGGCAAATTTCATCAAATACATCTTTGCATCTCATTTTACGCAACTCATTTTCACACCCCTTACAGAAGTTCACAGACCTCCAGCTCACTGAGAATTGCTGTTTTTTCTTGGAGAAGTTTGGTAATGTTACATTGTTCGAATGAAGCCCTAATGTTCTTTGGCCAAATTACAGGGATGTTTGATCCTTGCAAAAACACAATTGTCTTTCCTGCAGTGCAAATCACAGTACCAATTTTGATTTAATTTAAGGGAGGAGAAGGATTTTTCATTTCTTACATATTACTAAAATGAGTTTTTAGCCCTGGTCTGTTTCTCAGGTTTAAGTGACAATAAAAATTGTCTTTATCATTTGTTGGTTATCAGGATCCAACACTTGCATGGAAGTGGTTTTTTTTTTGCAATTTTCAGCTTGCCAGAAGTCGTTGGACATACTCATAAGAGAGTACATAATTCTTACTAGAACTTGGAGTTACCTGACATACCGTTTTTATTCACCCAGTGTATTGCTCACTCTGTATCTGGTGGATGCAAAGCGCTGTTCCAGGGGCTTTCATAGTCACCAAACTGCATCTTGTTGCGAGGTTTAACTTCATTTGGCTTTTTACCGAGATTTAGTTAGCTCTAAAAAACGTTGTGGGTCACTGGGTTTCTGACATGATTTGGTTTGAGAGAACATCTTAAAAAGTTTTGTGTCTAAGTGAACACATAGTCTCTCATGCAGTATTTTGTTTTCTTAATTTGATCCCAGCTTTATAAAGTTTTACTTTAGGGTTTTATCTAAGATTGGTTTGAAGATTATTTGCTGAGTGTAACAATAGTTTCACTGGTTTCCTATTTCTACCTGGAGATGATTTGTTTGCAGATTAACTGAATAAAAGAATAGCATTTTAAATAGGAAAATTTGTACATCAAACAGCAATTTCTAGAAAATCTCAAGTTATGTCTAAGATAGGGGTATATGTTTGTACTTTTAAAAGTTTAAAATGGTTATTGATCAGTGTCTGTAGTCAGCTTACAGATACTCAATGATTAAGAGAAATACGGAGTCTTGCTTGAGCAGTTTATAGGTTAAAAAATAAGATATTGCATGTTTCTGAAAAAGGAAATACACAAAAATGTGAACATTATTTTTGCCTTTTTATGTGAATAAAGTACATGACTATTTTCATCTGTGTGAAGGTTTCAAACACTTAAAGTACACGGAATTTGATAATCGTTTTGGCATTATGGTACAAATTTACTCAAATTTCATATTGAAATGAGTAGTTTATATAGAAGGACATGTTTCGAGTATGTATTTATGAGAATTATTTTTAGATGGAGACAGTTGTGGGCAAACTTTTTATAAAATAAGAAAAATCCCAACTAGTTTTTGAAGAAGTTTTCTTAGTTTGCGTAGTTGAACAGTTCAGTAAGTGCACCTTCTAGTTGTTGCCTTGCTTAGTGATGACTGCAAGTGCACGAGAGCACGTAGGATCTTCTATTACATTTTTGCTTACAAGCCATTTTTTTTCAGCTGTGTTCATTTATTTGCTAGTTAAAATGATACTTTTTTTTTTAAAAAAGGTGATACTTGCTTTTCTGAAAAGTACTTCACTTTATCAGAAGTCTTTCCAGTGAAAAGATTGTACTTACAGAGATACAGGTCGTGATGACATCCTGCAGGGAATCTTGGGAAAACTATGGAATTTCTCTTTGCCCTAGTTGTCTAATTTGTAAACAATGGATTGAAATTTTCTAAAGTGTGATTTTGCTAATAACAGTATATTGTTTTTAAGCGCTCAACTTTATTTCATGCTTGGAGTTTAATTTTCTAAAACAGAGAAGTGCATCTAGAGAAATTGTGCAAGTTAAAAAAATTTCAGTAAATGCTTTTCATTGTGTCATTTTTTGGGTTACAGTATCATTTCTTCTTGTAAAGGTGAAGATTCTTGAGACAATAACCACGTTGTAGAATACCTCTTCCTTGCTGTATAAGCACTATTTTTATCACTAGTTTTTATAGATTATTGGTAGTCTCAAATTCAGAGATGAATAGGGTTTTCATAAGCATATGCAGTTGTTTAGAGTATGCTGATTAATATGAAAGTTAAAATATAAAAGCTAGGAGGTAAGTTTCAGGAGAGTAAATAGCATATTAAATTTTTAAAATCAGGAATTTTCATTCTACTTACTTTTAAGACCTGGTATAAGAGTTGGATTTTGGGGGATTAGAAAGGGAGCAAATATGAAGTAAATGTATGTGAATTAACTTTTTTTTTTAAAGTATATCAGTGCAGTAGTTTAGCTTGGTTGCCTATAAAATAATGGCCTTTTATGTCTATTTTAGGTTCATTGAGTATTTCATGGTCATGAAGAATACAGAGGCATGAGTAAAAAAAAAGAATAAAGAGGCATGAAACCAGTAGTGTATGCTGAGGGGCTGAAGGGACAAAACGTCCTTTTTTAACACATTCTGTTGGTCCTTGTATCATCTTTGAAGTGTTGAGACATTTACAAAAATTTTTAAATGAATTCTTAATAGTCTTGACTCATATTGCATAGTTGGGTGAACATAAAGGCTGAGTTGAGTAATCCTTGCCCATCATAGAATGTTGTTTTAGATGATTGTGAGGCATAATAGTATAGAAGGGATGCATTTCCACATCTATGAAATGGTTAGCAATTACTGCCTCGTAAGGTTCTATGAGTAGTAACTTAGAACAATCACACAGTGTTATTTACAGAAACTTTTATTTTAAAAAGAAGTATGTATAACTTTCTGAACATAGCAGTTGCAATATAAAAAAGGCCTTTAAAACTTAAGAAGGTACTACAGTATTAATACACTTTACAGACTCAAGGAAGAAATAGATAAGCGTAAAATATAAAAAAGTACTAAATACTAAAAAAAGCTACTTTTTAGGTATTATGGATAGACGCTTACAAAAATTTTGGGGTTAGTTCTAACTGCCCTTTGTGGAACAGTGAGCATTCAGAAGTGTTGGGTAGTTGAGTTACCCTGCATTGATGAGAGACTGCAGCCGGCTTGCTTCTGGTAATGCGCGCGTGGCACTTAGGAGTGTGTGAAGGGAGTTTGACCATTGCGTCTGGCTCCTCCATACTGAAGTTTGTGGAGTTTAGAACCATTTACATAGCTGTGTTCCTTTGGAAGTCGTCGTTTATAGAGAAGATATTTTGTCAGTCACTTTGAAGATATCTGTGTTTTAAACAGAATTTAATAAAGACTTTGAATTCTTGAGTTAGCTTTAGCTTTAGGGATCTCTGACAAGGGATCTCAGTAGCAGTGTTTTACTTTGTGAGGCAGACAAGTTTGTATTTTTGTCATTTTAATCTGGAAACTCCTCTCTTTGGCCATACTTCCCTTTCCCAAATTTTGTGGTTATGTACATTGTCACTGTGGAATTGTAGCAAATAATGTATTTTGCACACCTTATTCTGGACAAGTAATAGTGAACAGGTTAATTTCATTATGTACTAGTGGCTTCCTTATGTAAATTTCAGGATTCATAGAAAAGTATAGTATTAAGCCAGCTGGTTCTTTGCAGAGTATTGAACATACCCACCTAAAATGATTTTCTGTGCTTTTGATTGACTTCAGGGAAATCAGGCATTACATGAACATATTAGAATAAAAGTAAATAGCTAATTATTACTCTTATTTGCTTTTTATGGTAATAACATGATAAGCTACTAGTCAGATTTAAGATTTTAGGACTACATTACTAAAGTTTTAATTTCTCTTATTTTGTGAGAAGCTATTATGAAATTATGAAAAATTTGTGAAAGTTAATAAATTGTTTGGAATTAATACATTACTGAACATATTGAATATAGTGTAAATATTCCAAAAAAATTGGGAAATATGAATACTTTTCTGTGTAAAATTTGAGAATGGAGGATATTGACAAATCAAAAATAATTCTAATACTGAACAGTAATACATGTTTGAGGGCCTTTAGTCACTAGAAAGAATGCAATCAGTTGTAAAGCAAGTCCACTTTGAGTTACTTAACCATACAGACATGAAGTCTTACTTATGATTGGGCATCACAGACAAAAAGAACAGTTGGATGAGATATTTTTGGTATTAGGAAAATTTAAGGTGGCGATGAAGTCTGGTTCAACTTTCATGTAAGTTAAAGCTGAATTGTAGTGAGA